AATGGGCAGGAACAAATATCTGCGGTCTGTTTAAGTTTTGCTTTTAGTTATTCAGGGCTTCCTTTTCTTGCTCCCAGGCCTTTAGGGCTGGTTCACATCATAGCATTGCGCTATCTTAGAAAAGTATTATTTTACCCAAAGAATAGTTGCCAGGAACAGCTTTTCAGATAAAAAGTAAAAATCAACAGAAAGAATTTAAACATGCTTGGGACAAACATAGATTTACACTCAAAAAAAAGTAAAAAACTATTATAAAAAAAAAATAAAGTTAAAAAGGGTAAGATGCAGAATTAAATACATTTAAGGAATAAGTGCACTTATACTTGAGGCCCCTTTAACGTTGACATCACCTCCCCATGTACAGATGAATATTTGCCAAGTACCGACAGGTTCAGACTTCATTGATGGCCGACATCCCATGGCGCACGTCTTCTCCTGGCCATGTCAGCACAGTACATCCTCATTGACTTTTATGGAGCTGGTCTACGTCTGCCCCCCGCTGGGAGACCAGCCCCCATAGAACTCAATGGGAATTTACTGCCCAGACACAGGGCCCATCGGAACTCGTAAAGTGTGTGGTTCCAGGAGCGATTATGGCCTAAAGGATATTTACACTGTTTTATAGTGCACCTATCCTTTAAGGTGATTGACCACTTGCAGGGTTATTCACAAAAGGGTGAGGAGTTTGGAGAAGGCAGGAGAAGTGAACAATCTAGGACCACATAGCCGATTTGGAAAAATTCTCCAATTCAGCTCACTTTCCAGTTCAGCGATGTTGTCCTAGATTGTTCCCTTCTCCGGCCTTCTCCAAACTCTTCACCCTTTTGTGAATAACCCTGTTGGTCTTTTTCTACCATTAGTCCTGAAGGTTTCTATATAATCCTGGCTTATTCCTACGTCGCCATGTACAGCACATTATAAACATGACATCAATGCCCTATCCTGCAAGTCAGGGGTGGCCAAACTCAAGCCCTTCAGCTGTTGTGAGACTACAAATCCCATGAGGCATTGCAAGATAGCCACAGGCATGACTCCCAGAGACAGCTACATGATGCAATTTGTAGTTTCTCCACAGCTGGAGGGCCGACGTTTGCCCACCCCTGCTGTAAGTGAATGAAATCTGAACATGGGCCTCCAGAATTCTGAACATGCATGCAATAGGTGAAGTGTGCTGCAGAAAAACAAGCAAATACACCAATGAGGCCGATATTTTCTGCAAAATAAAACAAATTCCCGATTCATCGAAAGCATTTCAGGGCAATAAATTTGAAAAAAAGCAAGCGCTGTGTGAATGTAATCCTGGTAACATGGACGGTGTTCAATATCTCTTTGTTAAGGGCTGCACAGATGTCAGAGCCGGGAGGACAACTTGTTTATTTTACAAGAAATGAAGAAAAAAAAAAAAAAGGGGGAGGAAACTCCCGGTATAGCACCAGAAGCAAAAAGGAAAAACAAAACCAACTTGTGAGGACAAGACATGTGGAGACAGCTACGAAGGCCCAGCTGTACACCCAGCTAACAGACTGGAACAAATATACAGCTTCTTCAGTACTTCTTCTATGGAAGGTTCCGTTAGAAACCTTAAAAAGATTAGATTGGGCTTCAAGTCCCTTTAAATCCATGGACAGCTGGATAATGCAACATGCAAGTCTCATTTGTAGGCCTTTAAAGTCAATTAGCAGTGTGTAATGATATATTCATACAGCCAAGGAGATAGATGAGGTACAGTACAAATGTATCTGCTCATTCATAGTTCAGATATAAATATGACCATGTAATAGGAGAAAAGCCGGAATGGGCTATTAATATGCTTTAAGCCAAGCCTCTCTCTAGGTCAGGTTTGGTATGTGGGAGGAGCTGCGGTTTTCGAGGAACTGCAAGGTCCAGCAAAGGCATGTTGCTGGCATTTGTAGTGTCCCTGTAGCCAAGTGCGCTTCAAGTTACATTAAGAGTTGGTTTGGTCACGGGAGAGTTTCATTAGCAGGAGACTGGATGCTCACACGACAATGGCTTAGGCTGGGTTCACACCTAGGCGTATCGAATATGCGCGTTTCTACTGCGATAAAAATGCACGACAAACACGCGTTTCCGAGGGCTACCTGGCTGTATCCCAATGGATACCTGCAGCAAAAATAGGGCGTTTTGTAGCGCGTTCATACGGCCTGTAATACGCCCAGGTGTGAACCATAACCATAGGAAATAATGGGATTTCTGTGTTTGAGCGTTTTGCAGAGTGTAGGGACGCTCTACAAAACGCCCAGGTGTGAACCAGGCCTTAGGGTTAGCACTTGGGGCTTCTCGGTCCAAATCTCAGCCAGGATACCATCTGCATGGAGTTTGCATGTTCTCCCTGTGCTTGCGTGGGTTTCCTCCCACAATCCAGACAAGCTGGTAAGTTAACTGGCTCCTCTCTAATATTGACCCTAGTAGGCCATTCCACTGAGCATGCCCAAGATGGTTCTACAGATGGCACCCAAGATGGGCCTCACCTCAACTCTGCCCCAACACCAATATGATCAGTCCCCATCTACAGAAACAATGAATGTGAATTACAATCTTTCCTTCATAAATACATTTTTCTCCCCGTCTTGGTGACCTTTACCCAACAGAGTATGACTATTCAAAAGAAGAGTTTCCTTTCTGGGGTTTATTTGAGGTCAACGTCAAAAGACATCAGGAGACAAAGGACAAACCATGCATAGAAGCCTGAGCTGCTGGTAGAGCCAGTTTAAAATACCAACATCAATGAAGAACAAGAAAACGCGCTTCATTCTGGAACCATCAATCAACGGTCTAGTATCTAACCAGCAGGATGGAATGAGTTATGAACAAAAAGAAGGCACTGCTGAGCAGAGGCTGATGTGAGGTTACAGTATGTAAAGCGCTGTGTACATTGACAGCACTATATAAAGATCTAAAATAAATAAAAACGGGATGTCAATGCACCCAATGTGTCGAAAATTGGACATTTGCTGTTCAAAATGTCACCATTGATGCACATGGCAGTTACAGCAACGTGGAAGTATAAATTAGCCCTTCATTTATTATTTATCTTTTCATTCACCTACATTACCTTTACTAAACTTTAGGGGGGGGGGGGTTATTCACAAAGGTGCCGAAGGCAGCCGAGTGAATAACCTAGCTGAAGTGAAGTGAGCCAAACGCTGTTTGGCTATTCACTTCTGGCTTGCACGGCTGATTTCAGCCGAACATGCAGAGCCGAAGTGCAGAAGGAGTTCAACACATCTGGATCGGCTAAGCCGAAGCTCCGGCAGCTCGCTTGCTGCCGTTCGTCCCTATTCTCATAGGGGCCAAACAGCAGTAAGTGAATAGCTGAATGCCGCCAAGCAGAATTCGGCTCGGCTATTCTGCTCGGTACCTCCGAAGTACCGAGCAGAATAGAAATTTAAAAAAAGAGAGAAAAAAAAAAGAGAAAAATTTATAATAATAATTTTAAAAAAGCCGGCAAAAGTAAAACAATTGGGCGGGGCTAGCCTGGACAGCTAGCTCTGCCCAACTGTTTCCTATTGGCCAGCACCTGCCAGAGACTTCTAGCAGGTCCCGGCCAATGAACAACTGGGCGGAGCCGGCCATGATGTCACAGCCAGCTCCGCCCCTGTTGATATTGTTTAATGACAGACGAGCATCCCCAGGTCATTTGGGGACGCTGATCTGTCATTACAACTAGGCAGAGCCAGCCGTAAGATAACGGCTGGCTCCGCTCAGCTGTCATTTGCGTGGAGATCATTCTGCTTCAGCAGGCCGTTCCCCCACGCTTTGGCTCAGTCGAGCCAAAGGATCAGCCGAAGCTACGGCTCTTTAGTGAATAACGCTCTATGCTTCAGGATGTTTTTCCCCATGTTAGGCCAAAACTGTCCACCGGGGGCCTCTCTGGCATGTGTGACCCATTACCTCCCCTCACGCCACAAGCCCCTTCATTTGTAATGTGCTTTTATTATCCATATGACTCAGCCATGTCTGTCCTCGACCTTAATGCAGCAGCAGGACAGTGATATATAAATCAGGATTCATCTGTAATGCCATTTTAAATTTTACACAAGCAACAACTTTAAAAAAAAAAGTTAGGATAATTTGCTGCTGAGGAGCCAATCTGAAATACCAGCAGAATAAGAATTGGAGCAGCTTCACCCCAAGGAGTACATGGGAATACTACATGTGGCATGTACATCCTGTCCATCTGTCATGGAAGAAGAAGTGTTTGAATGTCATATACTCTATAGCAGTGGAAGCCTGCTTACTTGATAGAAGGAGCCCCAAGTGTGGCCCCTGACATTACCAAAGGGGCACACATAATATGCAGTAAATGTAATGCTACAGGAGATGGTCAGAGGCTGCAGGCATGCTACAGGAGATGGTCAGGGGCTGCAGGCATGCTACAGGAGATGGTCAGAGACTGCAGGCATGCTACAGGAGATGGTCAGAGGCTGCAGGCATGCTACAGGAGATGGTCAGAGGCTGCAGGCATGCTACAGGAGATGGTCAGAGGCTGCAGGCATGCTACAGGGGATGGTCAGAGGCTGCAGGCATGCTACAGGGGATGGTCAGAGGCTGCAGGCATTCTATAGAAGTGGAGTATAGAGTATTTCAAGACTAGGAACACAAATACATCCGACTGTTGGATGTTGGTCTGTTGCTATTGGAGCCCCTTTACAAATCAATGCTCCCATTGTTATGCCCCCTACAGCCCCAATAAAATCATCTTGTACCGCATTTGATATTTATTCCAGGAAGATGCATTATAAAAGATCAGTGCCAAAGGGCCGCATGTGGCCGGGCCACAGGTTGGGCATCAGGGCTCATAGAAATCTCCCCAGAAATCTCTACACAGCAGTGCCTTATAAACCAGCAGCAAAATACCAGGTACCAGTGCAGAGAGCTCTGTACGCCGGGACTTGTAGTGCCATCATACCTGGAGGAGGTGGTGTGGATGGTAGTGATGATAGAAAATCTGCCACATAAAACAAAGTGATTGGGCTTACCAAAGTCAATGAACTGCTTCATGGAAAGCGGAGACGGGGAGTAGCGGCTGAACCTCTCGATCTGTTTTGGCGCATTGGCCAGCGCCGCATTCTTCAGCAGGAACCTGGCAAACTTCATGGTTAGGCACCGCAGTGGTTTATTTCACCTATGGGAAAAAGAGAGGGGAGCGTTTAGACCCTTGGTTCTCAACTGGTGTGTTGTGACCCAAAAGTGGGTCGCAAACCTGTGTTCAGTGGGTCACCACATGGCTTCCATTTTTCTAAGTAAGAGGCTCCTCTGCCTCCCCCTATCGCAGCACTGTCATTTCTGGTGCCAAGCAGCCATTCAAAATATGCTGCCCGGCGCCAAGCGTCAGCGCGAGGTGGGATGGGGCTATGGCCACGAGGGAGCTCCATCCATACATGCATTGCTTACAACTCCCTCGTGTGTCCTGTAGAGGTGCCTGGACTGACGTCACATTCTGGCTCCCAGCACCTCTACAGGGCACGCAAGGGAGCTGTACCAGCAATGCACATATGGATGGAGCTGTCACAGCACAGCAGCCCACAGTGGACCCCAGGCTGAAGATCCACTCCAGTTCTCATAAGAACTTTTTTTGGAGTGTGTATGTGTGTGTGAATGTCTGGGAGTGCGTGAGATTGCATCTGTAGTTGTGTATGGTACCCCAAACTCACCTCCCACCCACAGTTCGTATGGCAGCACCGGAACGCACGGTACCCTAATGCTGTGCGTTCCATTTCAGTGCGACTTGGGTCACAACTTAATGACACAGGACAAATGTGGGTCCTGAGGTATACAGGTTGAGAACCTCTGGTTTAGACCAATCGCATGATAGAAAATACACATTAGTAGGTGAAAAGACACTCAGGATTATGTAACAGTGCCAAGCCATGAATGTACAGCAACCAATCAGAGCTCAGGGCTTGCTCTGACAGATGCAAGCAATCAGAGCCCAGGGCTCGTTCTGAAGGATGCAGCCAATCAGAGCCCAGACGGATACAGCCAATCAGGGCCCAGACGGACACAGTCAAACCTGATTGCTATGGGTTACTGTCCTCCGCATATCACGACGGCTCCTGGAGCAATTTTTATATAAAGTTTGATGACTCCCAAAGTGTCGCAATGCTGAGCGCGGTTCATCACACATTGATGGAAGTGGCACAACGTCAAGGTAATTCGAACATGATCAGGACGCCCATAAAAAGAAAATTAATGGGCGTAAAGTTCAACGTCAAAGCTGCACTCCGTACAGGAGGTGAAGCCGGGCAAAGCAATGATTAATAGATCTACAAGCCGCTCTCTCCGGGATACAATGTGACTGATTAAGTGATATTTAACCAAGTGCGCAATAAGAAGCCGCATGTGATGCGAGTGTGAACAGAGAGCTGCATATTGGGAAAGGGGGGGAATCTAGAAATCGTTTTGGCATGGACCCCCCGGCTTCCCATACCGAGGTCTTCTTACCCCCAGATGTCGCCCTGCTATTGATTATATTTACCCCCCGAAACCCCTATTACAAACCAAGGTTTATTTACCCAGAAGCCCCAAGTAAAATCTACAGCCCCCCTCCCATGTATACAGGGGTATTTCTTTATCTTTATTTGCAACTCACTACATATTAACATCCCCCTCTATTGCTGTATAATTGTGTATTTCAGAATCTTGATTTGCAACCTGTCACATATTTATTTTCAGACCCCCCACCCCTGTATAATGGGGCATTTCAGGACATTGACTTGCATCCTCCTACATAACAACTATTCTCACATCCTGCCCCCCCTTCCCCGTTTACTGGGGCATTTCAGTACATTGATTTGCAGCTTGCTACATGTTTATTCTCAGGGTCCCCATTGCATACCGGGGTACATTAATACTCGTACATCAACCTCCGGGTAGCTGGGGGAAGGAGGGAGATCCCTATGCCATGGGATGTTTTTCTCCAGCTGCAAATCAAGGTGTTGCACATCAGCACTTCCATCCCTAGAACAGTCTGCTGTCGAGGCTATAAACACCACCTGCATAAACACCCATTGCCATGCAGCACATACTGGGGTGCTCTGTCCCCCTCTAAAGAGCCCAGTGACATCTGGGTCCCTTGTCCTGCCTTCTGCTCCTGCACACAGACAGATTACCTCTGGCACAATGGAGGGGGGTCAGTGTCCGGCTCCTCAGGAGAAAATGTCAATGGAGAGAGGTCCCACTCTGCATGAAAGGGGGGCACAGTGTTCTCAGCAGCTCAGTGTTCAGCAGCACAGGACGTGGCCGACTGATGCACCCCGCATCTGATGCAACCCTTGCTCGGGATGACACCTCCACAGTCTGGTGTGTCCCTCTGAAGCTTGCAAGCTGCACACAATGTAAGATGCTCCGGTGGTTCTTCTCACCCTGCCTGCTTCCGTGGTTCGGTGACCCCTGCCAGCTCCCCCACTCTGTTTACTCTCCCCTATTACCCACTCACTCTTATTATCCACTTCGAAGAGGCGTGGCCTGAGCCCCCCTGGTCACGCCCACACACCCCCTGTAAGAAGGCGGAGACCTGACGGCCGCCCCGACCAATCAGGAGCAAGCCGGTGGAGTAGCAACAACTGCGGACGGAACAAACAAGTACGAGCTGTGCCGGTGGGTGGGGCCTGGGATTGGATGGGCAGGGCTACGGGGGCTGATGTTGCCGTGCACAGTGTCAGCGGCGGAGGACGCTGATAGGCTGGTTGCGTTAACCCCGTCGGGGAAGGAGCGCTGTGAATGCGCAGCGCTTCCCATTCATTCCGTATGGGACAGGCACCTTACCGCTTATGGGGGGAAGGGTGAGGGGTTTTGTCACGAACAAAAAGGCTGAGGCCCGAGGTGCATTTTTAGGTAAAGTGCGTTTTTTGGGGGTTAAAAATGTGAGAACGGCTAATTTGTGAGTTAATTCTGCTCAAAAAGTGACGTCACCGCCTAATAATGTTATTTCTGAGGTGAATTTGTACCCTGAGAGGCCTCAACTCGTCGTATGAGGTGATTTTGGTAATTCCTTGTATGTTCTCCACCTAAAATCATCAGAATATTGCTTCACATTTAGTCTCCTGTACTTAAAGCTGGAGTATAATCTGTTTATATTTTGCCTCCCCTCCCCCCTCATTAACATGATAATTAAATGATTAAATATTACATTTATGTTGTCATGGCAGGCCTTATTTTAGACCCGGTGATGTCATCACTGGCCCTCTGTGCTTCCCCATGCAATGCAGGCAGACCATGGCTGAGGGGAGGAGTCGGTATAGTGCTGTACATAGCTTGCTGAGCACAGCACCCTGCCTCAGAACTACTTTCAACAGCCCTCGGGGCCCATTCAGACCTTGGTTGCCTGGTGTGGTGCCTCCTTACAACGTACGTATGTTGCATTAAAGGGTTAGTCCATCTGTGCAATAATACAAAAAATCCCTGTGCGCCCCCGGTACATTAAGCTTCTTTTTAATGTAATTCCTGTAGGCCAGCCAAACTCTGGCCCTCCAGCTGTGGTGAAACTACAAATCCCACGATGCATCTCTTCTATTTGTTCTGGTGATCGTCATCACTGAAAGAGAATCCCAAATTTTGGGCTGTCACCAGAACAGGAAGAGATAGGAAATCTTCCAATGGGGAATCGGGGTTTGCTGACCACCTTGCTTTAGAGGGATTCCTCTCACTTCCTGTTGTGGCTATCTGACAGGAAGTAAAGTGACATCCCTCCAATGGGACACAAGTTCTGCTGACCACCAGAGATGCTTCTTGCTATGGAGGGATTTGCTCTCACTTCCTTTTGTGGCTATCAGACAGGAAGTGAAGGGACATCCCTCCCATGGGACACAGGTTTTGGTGACCTTGCTGACCACCAACGGTTTTCCTCACTTTGGAGAGATTTCCTCTCACTTCCTCTTGTGGCTATCTGACAGGAAGTGAAGGGGAATCCCTCCCATGGGACACAAGTTCTGCTGACCACTGCGGGCTTACCTTGCTTTGGAGGTATTTTCTCTTCCCATTGTGGCAGGAAGTGAAGGGAAATTTCTCCAATGGGACACAGATGTCACAATAAAAGCTGACCGGGGTTATAACCCTTCCCTTGTTCTATCCAAAACTAAAACAAAAGTTTTGTCTTCAGTTCCCCTTTAAGGCGGCCCATTCATTTGAGGGTGGCGGCAATGCATGAGAACGGACCTAATGGCGCACCTCCGGATGCCGCGCACCACATTGCACCTGCGGATGCGTGTTGGTTTAGTACATAGCCATGCCTTGCGGTAATGTGTGTTAGAACAACACATGTATGTGAAGCCGGCCAAATACAGCAAACCTTCTCATAACAATCTCCCCGTCCCCGGTATTATCCTCCTCCAGTCACACAGGACGGCCATCTGCTGTTTTCTTTTGACTGGTGATCAATTATCTTTGGTCATTGTACTACGTCCAGTGTTTTTGCATTCCCTCAGGTCTAGTTTTATGTTCCCACTGACCGACTGCTGTGATGAGAGGTGCAGCCCTCGGGGTACGGGACGGGACACCTGACAGGACTATCTGAAGCTGGCTATGTAGCGGTAAGCAGTATATACCCTGTTTCCCCGAAAATAAAACCTAGTACTATATTTGGGAATTGCTGAAATATAAGACCTACCCCGAAAATAAGACCTGGTTGTGACCATTCCCAGGGCCGGTGGTGGCATAAGGGGGAACTTGAAGAGCCGCTAGAGAGAATCAGCGGTGCCAATGAAGCCAGCGCTAGAGGAAGCGAGGCGGCACCGGAGGGAGCAGAGCCGCAGAAGCCAATGCTTCCTCTATAGCGCCGGCTCCTGTCACAGGCGGAGTGATACCAAATGCACGCCGCCTGTGAGGAATCCATAGTGAGAGTGCGCTTCGCTCATTCTGGCCAGCGATTGGTTAGCAAATTGCTCTAGCAAAGGTACGGCACCCGATTGCCCAGATCACCATATTTTTGTACATGAATACATGTAGACTTTTCTACCTGAATAAGTGTGGATTGTTGTACATAAAAAAAAAAAAAAGACCTACCCCCGAAAATAAGACCTAGTGTGTTTTTTTTGAGCCAAAAAAAATATAAGACAGTGTCTTATTTTCGGGGAAACACGGTAGTAGGGATGCACCAATACAGATACAGAGTATTTGGGCGAGTACTCGTATTCGCCCAGATGCTCCGATGCCTAGCCCAATACTTCCGGTATCAGGAAGCCTGGCAGAGAGTCATTACACGCTGCCTGGCTTCCTGATTGGCCGGGAAGCCGGCCCTTATGTTCCCTCGTCACCAACAAAAACGGTATCGGTGCATCCCTAGAACATTGCAGTAAACAACTCAGTATACAGATATATTTCTGCTTCAGTGCCTACTGTCCTGTTTATGTTCCTTTCACCTTTGAGTTGTTTACTGCAGTGTTCTCCAGGAGTCAGGTGCGTCCATCTCGTGGCCACTTTAACATTTCAAACTGAAGTTTATGAATGACAAGCATGCCGCACGCACGTACACGGGGGCAGAGTGAGCTACGCGGTCAGGTATGCTCTATGTCAGTGCCGTCCCTCCTGCCTTTCCCTCTTCGTCCTTAGGATTTCCAGGAACTCCAAGTCTCTCTCTCCAGAGAAACCGATAAACAAGCCGAGGCCCAAAGCCACATCACTCAGCCCTCGTGTCCAAATGAGCCAATGGGATTTGTCCTGGCTGGACGGGGTGCCTGATTGGATGCAAAAAGTCAGTAAACATCTTCTGCAGCACACACACCCCCCTCTTCCCTTCTCTTCTCTGCAAGGGGAAAAAAAGTGCATGTAAAAGAAAACAACGTATAATGGAGTTCAGGTGGCATGTTGTCTTGAATTGTGATTGTAATGTCTTCCTTATATTGTAAAGTGCTGCACAACCTGTATACATCCTGTATAATAATAATAATAATGATATAGAAGTCTGGGTAGGTTTTTAGGAAGGTCGTGATTGAAGAATTTAACATCCTCGGATTAATGAAAGGAGGGGGCATCGTGTTTAAAGAAGAACTGTAAGCATTTTGTGACGAACATGTAAGCTTCAAAATGTGGCTGCATTCAAAAAGAAGAAAAATGTACTTTCTGAAATGTTGTGGGCATGCAGCAGCAAAAATAAAGCGTGTCTTTAATTATAATCCAGAGCAGTGTTTCTCAACCTCTTTTTAGTCACAGCACCGTTTAAAAGTGTGCAAAATCTCGAGGCACACCAGTCTAAAATGTCAGATTTTAAGGGGCACCCCATGCAAAACACCCAAAAAAAGTGTATTTCCTCGTTCCCATCGAAATGCCCCTTCAAATCAAGATTTCTCCTCCCCCTTCACATCAGCCACCCTTTGGATTAGTAGCCCTCCTTGATATCAGAAGCCCAGCTTTCATATAAAAAAGACCCCCCCCCCCTTTTCACATCAGAGTCACCCTTTGGATCAGCAGCTCCCCTTCACATCACACGCCCACTTTCATATCAGAGTCACGCTTTATATTAGTAGCCCTCCTTCACCTCAGGAGCCCCCACTTCATACTAGGATCCCTACTTTCATATCAGAGTCCCCATTTCACATCAGTTCCACCCTCCCTGCTTTTCACATCAGAGTCTCCCTTTGGATCAGCAGCCCCCCTTCACATTAGGAGCCCCACTTTCATATCAGAGTCCCCCCTTTCAGATCAGAGTCACGCTTTATAATAGGAGCCGCCCTTCACATCAGGAGCCCCCAATTCACACTAGGAGCCCCACTTTCATATCAGAGTCCCCCTTTCACATCAGAGTCAGTGGCGGTGCATTGTATTAAAAAAAAAAATAGGGCTTGCAGTTAAACGGAACGCTGGCAAAGTTTTGCCACGCGTTCGATCGCACTGCGGGCGGGCGCCGAAGCGGTGCCATTGAATACAATGCACCGCCATGCCCCCTCCCGCCCCAAAACGCAGGGGGAAGTTTTACGGCGATCGTGGTGCGTTCCAGCAGCTACGGCTCTGGAACGCACACGCTTTCGATGTGAACAAGCCCAATTGAAGCTTCATATATTATTACTGCCATGCAGTCAGGCATCTATTGAATTTTTAACTGTACTATTTACTGCAGCAAGGGTTAAAATACCCCGTGTAGGTAGCACAGTGGCAAGCCGGACTACTGTGTACTGGACCATTGGAGACCTGGACTGCTCTGTGCAGGGTGTGTATTGGACCATTGGAGATCTAGACTGTTCTGTGCAGGGGGTGTGCTGGACCATTGGAGACCTGGACTGCTCTGTGCAGGGGGGTGCTGGACCATTGGAGACCTGGCCTGCTCTGTGCAGGGGGGTGCTGGACCATTGGAGACCTGGCCTGCTCTGTGCAGGG